GTGGCCCCTTCTCATGAAACCCAACAATGACTGACCAAAATTTTCTCAAAACTCTGGGGAGAACTAATTGGTTTGGGCTAAGGCTAAGCTCGGGAAGTAACTGCCCTAAAGGAAACTTTTGTTCAGAAAGATGTGAGCAGAGCTGGGTGGGAACCAGATTTCCATTGGGAAATTCCATATGTTCTCAAATGGAACAAAAGCTTCAAAATTTCCTGTGAAATGAAATTCCCTCCCCAAAATTGTTTTGAGTTTTTTGCTGAAAATATTATATTCTGATTTTAATGGGTTTTATTTTTTATAATTATAAAGAAGTTTCAAAACAAACCAATTGAAACAACATTCCAAACATTTCACAACGGAATGCTTCCATATTCTTAAAATGTTCCATGTGGTGTTTTTCAAAAATGAAAATTAGTTGAAATTGACATGTTTCTACAACATGTTTAGCTTTTGACCAATGGGCTTTTTCTGATAGAAAAATGTTCAGTCTGAAAACTCCCAACCAGCTCTAGCTGCCAGTATGAAATCAGATGATCTGAGTCTTCTCTTTGCCCTCAACACAGTGTGCTTATGCAGTGTTACTGTCCAAGGTGCACCCGGAGGTCTCCTTTTATTAACTTGTATGACTTGGCTGTTCTTATTCCTTTTTCGTGCCAGACATGTTGATTCATTACCTAGCTCTCCTTTTGTCTGACCTCTACATTTCCTCCTGAGTTGGAGCTACAGAAATCCACCTGCTTTGGTTGCCAGAGAAGTCAGCTGACTAGCCCTGTATCTCCATGTAGGGTTCTAGAACTCAACATGCTGTCTTAGCCATAGAAACTCTGTCATCCAAATCAGCAAATGTTATAACACTTAGAAAATATCTGGCAGAGCAAATATATAAAACTATGGGTTGGCATCCATATTATGCCTGTTAGTGAATGTATGTCTGCTAATGGAGAGAAATTTAAATGCAATATAACTAATGAAATGTAAGGCAATCCAGCAATTAAGTGGGCAGTTTTTGTGTAGCTGTACAATTAAATGTGTATAAAGCTGCCTTGGGTAACAAAACTGGGAAAGAAGCTGTGTTCTTCTGTCTCTTTCCTTGAACTGTACAGCCAGCTGTAATGTCTAACCTTACTTTGAAGAGCACAGCTTTTCCAAAACCCAGTGAAACAAATTAGCTTAACTGATAAATCTTCCAGGGAAAACTTGTAAGATTTTTAAGCTTTCTTTTTAAAAATAAGAATTAAAAAGGTATCCATAAATAGCATACTTACTGGCCACTCTGTAAAATCAGCAGAACGAGTTAACTCATCCTGGAACCCTTCATGACCTGAAAAAAAAATGAAGGGTTGAATGATTGACATTTTCTGTGATTGTTATGATGGCACCTTTTGGCTTTCCCATCAGCCATTAGTTACACAGCATGAGATTTCTGAAATGACATGCCAGCTCCTAAGCTCTACCCTGTCTACAATGCTTGTTTTTCTTGAAATACTTGATAAATGCAGGTTTTAAAAAGGCTTTTAAAAGGTGTTGTGTTTACAATTTATCTTCTGAAGTAATGTATTTGTATAGATATATCTTATGAACTATTAAGAAAGTGAAAATGTATGTTACGTTTACTCTCCTCCCATCACTGAATTGTGTTGGCCATGTGCCTTCTCCTCTTGCACCTGCACTCCCTTAGATGGGGAGATAGGAGAACGGGCAGTGAAAGGACTAATGGTGTGATGAAGAACCAGCTATACCAGCACTAATGCAGCCAGGGATTCCTCATGCCTGTACAGGGCTGCTTGATGGCAGTGGTCGCAGAGTTACAGTATTATGTTGGTTTCAGAGTAGCAGCCGTGTTAGTCTGTATTCGCAAAAAGAAAAGGAGTACTTGCGGCACCTTAGAGACTAACAAATTTATTTGAGCATAAGCTTTCATGAGCTACAGCTCACTTCATCGGATGCATTCATTGCTTGAATTCAGCCTTCCCACTAAAGATTTCATTATGTAAATACAGCTCTAGTGAATCTTGGATGCTGAAAATGTATGAGATGAAAGTTTTGGGTTGTGGCGGGGGAGGAGGGTGTTTGGGTGTTTTTTTTTTGTTTTTTTTAACAGTTTAATGCTATAGACTAGATTTCCGTTATAATTGTTGATGATTACCAAAATATATGTAGACGAATCTTTCTTCTAATAGGCCTGCTTTTCCTCCTGGTAGTCAGTAATGCCCCAGCTCAGTGTTTGACATCACATTTGCTTCCATTCCTACATGCAGTAAACACATTTTCTTGGTATAGCCTTTCACAGCCTTATACCAGTTGTACAACCTTTTAAATTATAAATCCCAAATGATTTTTGAGAACAACAGGAGGTCTTTAAAGGAGCTGGTTGGTCAATGAAACACACTAGTTGTTATCCTCAATAACACAGAAAAATAACTGTTTGAATATGCCTGCTATAATCAAGGGAAAACTGTTTCAGACAGAGCAGATTTCCTTCAACTTTCCTTTGTTACATATATCTTGTAATCCTCCTAAGAGGGCTGTTCAGGCCAAGGCAGTTATCACATCTCTGTCTAAAAATACATCACCTAGTGAACGGACTAGTGTCATATCTTTTAAAAAAAATATTGATCTATGATAGCCTTAACTTCAGTAGCTCACTTGCCTTTATGTCTGACCCTTAACACTTCTTTTTTTTCTCCTGTGTTCAAGCAAAAAAGGGTTGAGGGGTAGGTTTACTGGGGATTATTGACTGGCTAGGAAGCCTTGAGGGCTCAAGGCCATTATGCCCAGTCAGTGTCATGCACTGAAGTAGTTACTGCTGCTGAAAATTGATATGAAGATTTTATAGTATTATGTTAATAATATTGCTGAGTGCAGTGGTGTTGTAGCTTTGTTGGTCCCAGGACGTTAGAGAGACAAAGTGGGTGAGGTAATATCTTTTATTGGACCAACTTCTGTTTGGGGAGAGAGACAAGCTTTCGAGCTTACATAGAGCTCCGCGTCTCTCTCTCTCCCCAACAGAAGTTGGTCCAACAAACAATATTATCTCACCCACCTTGTCTCTTGAATAATATTTCTGTTATAAAATTACTAGGATAATATTTTAGTGGAGTCACACTTCATGATTGCATATCGTGCCCCTCAGTCCCATACATACTGTTTTTTAAAATTGAAGTTTGCAAATGTTTGCAAGGCTAGCAGGGAAGTGAGAAGTAATGGGGTCATAGGAGGAGAGGTCCTCTACCGCTACAAGAAGCAGTGAGTGGGAGAACTGCAAGGAGGATGAAGGAAACCAGGAGCTCACTCTTCTCTCCAGAGCCTAGACGGGAAATTGGTGGCAGCCTGCTCTTACATCTCTGGCACTGTCAAGGTTCCTTCCCCACTCTGAACTCTAGGGTACAGATGTGGGGACCTGCATGAAAACCCCCTAAGCTTAGTTTTACCAGCTTAGGTTAAAACTTCCCCGAGGTACAAACTATTTTAACTTTTGCCCTTGGACTTTATTGCTGCCACCACCAAGCGTCTAACAAATATATAACGGGGAAAGAGCCCGCTTGGAAGCGTCTTTTCCCCCCAAAATCCTCCCCAAACCCTACACCCCCTTTCCTGGGGAAGGCTTTATAAAAATCCTCACCAATTTGCATAGGTGAACACAGACCCAAACCCTTGGATCTTAAGAACAATGAAAAAAGCAATCATGTTCTTAGAAGAAGAATTTTAATTGAAGAAAAAAAAGTAAAAGAATCACCTCTGTAAAATCAGGATGGTAAATACCTTACAGGGTAATCAGATTCAAAACATAGAGAATCCCTCTAGGCAAAACCTTAAGTTACAAAAAGACACAAAACAGGAATATACATTCCATTCTGCACAGCTTATTTTATCAGCCATTTAAACAAAACAGAATCTAACGCATATCTAGCTAGATTACTTACTAAGTTCTAAGACTCCATTCCTTTTCTGTTCCCGGCAAAAGCATCACACAGACAGACAGAGCCTTTGTTTCTCCCCCACTCCAGCTTTGAAAGTATCTTGTATCTTCATTGGTCATTTTGATCAGGTGCCAGCGAGGTTATCCTAGCTTCTTACAGGTGAAAGGGTTTCTTTCTTCCTTTACAGGTGAAAGGGTTTTTCCTCTGGCCAGGAGGGATTTTAAAGGTGTTTACCCTTCCCTTTATATTTATGACAGGCACTGAAGAGTCTTTATAATGACGCCATCCAGTGGCAGCCAGCTGCCTTCCCCAGTGTATGTGTTTTCACAGCAGACCAGATCCTTAAGGGTATGTCTATGCTGCAGTTAGACACCCATGTCTGGCCCATGCTAACTGACTCGGACTCCGTCTGTATGGTGGTTTAGTTGCGGTGTGCACAAGCCTGAACTTTTAGACCCTCCCACCTCTTAGGGTCTTACAGCCTTGGCTCCAGACCAAACCTGAACATGTATACTGCTATTAAACAGCCCCTTAGTCCAAGCCCCGCGAGTCCAAATCAGTTGGCGTAGGACAGCTTCAGGTTTTTAATTGCAGTGTAGACATATCCTAAGTGTAGCCGGGCACACATTTTATTGGTGATGTGGCCAGAAATGGAGAGGCTGTACATTAGTCAGTGAAGACAGAGAAACCATGCTACTCAGTTTACAATGTAATACATGTGTTCTTTGTATAATCCATGTTTAGGTATCTACAAATTTATTTTATTGTAAAAAAACTTCTAAATGTGATAGTTATGCAGAGGCAGTTCATATTGCAGAAAAATTTTGTGGGACACAGACCAGGGCAGTCTGGGTTGGATGTTAATCATAAAATAGTCAAACTGTCAGATGGACTGTAGAGATTTGTTCGCAAATGCATAGCTCTGATCAATGACTTATTTGTTTTTTTATTCACACAGTACAAAATTTATTCATAAATAGTAGTGTATCCATTTACTGCTGCATTCTGTATGACAGATTCATTCCAAATAACATTTTTTTGAAATCCAGTTTCTTTTCCCTCTTCTCTTCCCCGTTATAGAGTGGTACAACAAGAAGCTCAAAGATCTCAGCAAGTTTCACATGACAGAAAGAGTCCCAGCAGAACTAATGGTTGCAGTGAAAACAAACCCATTGATATCCTAGAAATGCTTAGCAAAGCCAAGGATGAATATGAACGAGTAAGGAAACTTTTTTGTTGGGGGGGGGGAATGCATTAGAGGATTATCTATATTAGTAATGTAAAACTAGTCCAAGTACTCCTTTTGATTTAAGGACCTAATGTAGATCTCACTGAAATCAAATGGAGCTTTGCCTTTGACTTCAGTGAGAGTTGGAGCAAAGTGTAGTCGGGCAGTTTTATACATAAGTATTATAACCTGTATCAGACTTCTTCAGTAATACTGTATAGTTCAAATTAATTGCATTCACTTCTTGAGGTTCCTTTTTTCTTACAATAGCAAGATACTTACTAAAGTGAGATGCTTAAGTAACACTTGTATTAAATTGTAGATTGAGGTGCCCGCCGGAGGAGTACACTATATTTTTTTTAAGATCTAGTATTTCACATATAATTTTAAAACTGGACATTAGGAAATAAAAATTAAATTTGTAATATTCTGATTCTGTTCTTTTCTGAAATTGAGATAAATGAGATTAAACACACGATACAGAGTATTAATCCGCTGTCTTATCTCTTTGACAGTATTCATAGTCTTTGGTAACAAAGATATATCATGAGCAGCTCAGGAGAAATGAGCACTGAAGAAGACTTGTATTAAATATAGTCATAAATGTGTATTACAAAAAATTAAACATTCTCAAGAGATTATGTTAATTGTACATGTTCTGCACTGTATTTCAGTCTGCATTTTTTTCCCCGTACTCAAATTCACGGGAAGAGATGGATTGATTGAGACATGAATCATGATAGGATGTGCATTGCAGGTCCAAATTTAAATAGTGTAAATGGTGTTGAATCATGAGGCAAAAGACCAAGGGCCTTCACCGACCCCTGAACTGTGATTTAGGCATGTTGTATAGCCTGAAATGACTTGCTGCAATTAAATTAAATTAAAACTAAAAACCTCTGATGTATTTAAAAACAAAGCATTTCTGAATAATATAGGGTTTGACATGTTTGATGCTATATGTATGAAACCAGTCTCTCCTTTTACAATTTTCAGCCAATCTGATATCAAATTTGCTTTTGCCAATTGCATGTTTGCAATTTTTTATAAACTTCTCTATAAAAATACATATGATTTTAAACACTTATGGATGTTATGTTTTATTTAATTTGCTAAGTGACATTCTCTCATATTAGTTGTGACTACTATTTAAAAAAAATCTTTTAAAATAGTAATTAGTGTTTAGTTTCATTGCTTTCTTTGATTTTGTGTCAAGCTATAAAGTGAATCAGAGCCAAGGATAATCCCATGGTTTTCCACTCTTGTGTATTTGTGTCAGATTTTCCCAGATAAGCAAAATTGAGCTAGTTCAAGATGTGGGATTAATAAAAGAATGACCGCATTAGTTTTAGAAGGAAACCTCTTGTGGCATAGATTGACATGTCTGCAATTATTTAATTATAGAGTCTTTCTCTTTATTCTTTTGTCCATGTATTTCCACACTGATGCTGTGTAATTTAAGTAAACATATTTGCTGTAAAGAAGAGTGTTTCTTGGGAGAATATGCAGTCTTATTTCTTTACCAATTCTTCTGGGGCACTCAAGTTGATAAGTACTTTCTGCTCTTAAATACTGAAACACAAGTTCATGTGTAATTATCTGCCTAGTACGTTCCAGATGGATCATACAGTAATCCTTGTGTGCAGCTCACATGAGATTGGCAGAGAGTCAGTATGAGAAGGGGACAGAGGGAGAGCGAAAAAGAGATTTATAAAGGCCCGAGTGATTTAATCTAGGATTCTAAATCAGTTTAATCCTCCAAGTACGCTCTACATCAAGTCCATATGTGAAAATGAATGAATTCCGAGATTTTTGTATCAAGTGGGTGGATGCTTTTTGTTGGTTGGGGTTTGGTTTGGTTTGGTTTGTTCCTTCCCCTTTCTGGGAGATAATGAAGTGTATTATAGCCAATCCTTTGATGACAGTGAAAAAAAGCCACACTTCTAAATCTCATTTATAAGCCACAAAACAGTCAAGGACTTTAGGTCTAATGTATGTTACTACTTAAATGTTAGAAGCTGATAGGAGTTGGGGAGAAATGTCCTGGAATCTAAATATGTAGTCTTTGTTTTGTTTTGCTCAGTTACTGAGAAATTTTAAAAACAAAAAATCACAGCCTCATAGCCCTTTCAGAAACCCCCCAAAATGAACTGTAAGATGCCATTTGCTGGCCTTGCAGCTTCAGCAGTTAAGTAACAAGAACGTTCCCCTGTTTTATGCTGACATCACTTGATGATGCTGGTGTTTAGAGATATCTTAGGATAAGGTGCTATATAGGCTGAAGTTCTTATAGTAAGTTGCATCAATTTCAGCTTTTGAAATAAATGCATCATAAACAAACAATACTCAAGTGAAAAGCCACTTGAATCATGAAGTTGACTATTATCTTACTGTATTACAGTTGGGACATTTAACTAACATCTCTAAACAACATGGGATCCGTAGCCTCAGCTAATTTCCTTATTTTCTATGCTCTCCTTGCCTTGTATTTTACAAGTGTTAATTTGTTCCTCCATTAATGCGCTTGCACATTTAAATAACTACAATAGAGATAACATAGATAACTAGTCCTTTTTCCAGTGAATGAACGTGTACAAATCCTTGAAGCATAATTTGTATGTGGTGTAAATTCTTGCAGTAATGAAGTGTAGCAGATTTTATTGTTTACAGCTAGTGTCCGTAGTTTACATGATTGGCACCTTTTTATAAATTGAACATGTTTCTATTAAGTGGGGAAAAAATATGAAACTGAAGTCCTGTAAATTTCCCAGTAAGAGAACAACAAAATAATAGTGAGCACAGCTCGTAGATTTAATATGGTGAATGTCACTGTCTCATTTTATTTAAAACTTATGAACTTATAAAAATCAACAAGATCTACATTCTGTATATATAAGAGTGGAAAAGGAAGTGCAGACAGAATTACAGCAATTGTGCTGCTGGGGTAAGGATAGAAAACAGATGTATTTATATAAATATTTTCTTTTTTAGACTCAGATCAGTGACTTAAGTATTATATCAAGTTCTGGAATGCAGCAAAATGAAAATCCCACGAAGACAGAAAGCATGGAAACTTCAGAACAAACATCTTCAACGTTACAAATGCAAGACCAGGTATGTTCAATCCAAACCTAAATAAAGTAACAATCCTTTACTAATATTTTATCATCAGTAATAGAAATACAACATGTTCTACACAAGTGAGATTTTTTCTAGGACTTCTGCAGCACAAAAGGTATGTTTACACTTCAGTTTAAAAAAAAATCTAAAAATGCCAAGATGTGTGCGCTCCTAAACCTAATGACTGTTAGAGATCTGTGTCCTTTTGAAAAATACAACCTCTTTTCTGTATTCGGAAACTTTTTCTAAAAATTCCCCAACATTATTACTGCTGTTTATTTCCATTGGTAATAGCGCTAGTACGGACAAAGGGCGAGATCCTGAACTGGTATAAATGATCACAACTCCCTTGAAATCAGTGGAGTTATGATAGTTTACACAAGCTAAGGATCTGACCCAAGGGATTAGTGGCTACAAGTATTTTAGGTAATGTGTCTACTAGACCTGCTCTGAACAGGGTTAGAAGACATGCTTAAAAACCAACAGCTGGCCAGAGATTTTTTTCTATGTGAATGATCCACTGTTGCTCCTACCAATAGAGTTTTAAACTGTGTCAACAGTGATGGGAAACTTTAGCAAAATATCCTAATTTAAACGCATTTCTTAATTTGCAGTTTCTCTCTGACAGAAGTTTCCCATGGTTCAAAACCGGTTTCCTTTCTGGTTCCTTTCTGCAGCATCACTGGACATTTTGTAGCATGGCTATTGTCAGAAGATAAATAACTGACTAAATTTGCTCATAGGCATTCACCCACAATGAAGTCGTATAGCTTCCTACTTCAGAGAAGATTCAGTTAAAACAATTCTAATTCTGTTATTAGATGCCACACAATATATCAATAAGTTGTGCCTACTAATAATGCCACCTAGTGGAGGCAAAAAAGTAATTCTTAAGCATTAAGTAATACTTAACTTCAAAAAAATGTCCTTTAGCAATTTGGCTTAGTAATTGGCTAGTTTTAATTCCCTGGTATGTCTGTATTCTGTCATATCTTTATACAAAAAAACCCAAAAACCCAAGTATTCTTTTTTTGCACTTTTAAATTTGTAAATGAAATATATAGATTGCTTTACAGTTTCTGTAGTTTGACATCTTTGGAGGAATGACTGTAATTAGGAAGGCAGCTTAATATTTACAAAATAAATCCAAAAGCAAACACGTATGCAAATTGCTTTGTAACAGTAATTCTTGGGGGAGGTGGGGAAGGAGTTTTTTTATAGAGCAGTTGAGACTAGATATATTTTATTAGACTCACTTTAATAAAACCTTTTAAACTGAATATTGAAAGATTTATAGATCAGAGATTTTAGAAACCTTTAGTCTAGTTATTACATAAAAGATTGCAACCAGTTCTAGTGTTGGTGGTGGAAATGACTAAAAGCAGCTAAATAGAGGTACAGATGCAATCAACAATACATGAGAAACCTTGATTTTTTTTTATTTTTATTAATCTAGAGAAGCATCTGCACAAATGAAGGGAGAGTAAGGAACAGTTCCATCTCCAATGAGTAAAATAATTTTAAATGAAATGAAAAATTCAGAAGGGCCAGGTTTTTCATACTTTAAAGCAGGGGTGGGGAAATTCCGGCTCATGGGCTGGATCCGGCCCCCTGCTTAATTTCATCTGGCCCATGGCAAGTCTCTGAAGTGCGGGCCAGAAGCCCTGAGCCTCGGTGCCTGGCCCCCCCTCACCCCCACAGGCTTGCCGGCTTGCCCCACTGCAGGGGGAAGCTAGGGTGCCAGGCCAGTCAGTTGGCTGCAGCCCCTAAATGCAGGGGCGATCAAGAAAGCTCCTAGTCCATGTGCGCCTACCTCCGCCCACAGGCGCGCTGTGCAGCGCTGCCTGGCCACATCGTGGCAGCTTCCAGGAGTGGAGTGGGGCCAGGACAGGGGGAGAGTCTGCCTTAGCCCTGCTGCCAACTGTGAACCACCTGAGGTAAGCGACGCCCAGCTGGAACCCGCACCCTAACCCCCAGCCCTGAGCCCACTCCCACACCCTGAACCCCTCATTTCTGGCCCCACCCCAGAGCCTAGGGGAAGCCCTGAGCCTCCACACCCCCCGCAGGGCTGTGTGTGGCCCGTGACTGATTTTTTTCTTTGGGTCAGTGGCCCCTGATAGAAAAAAGGTTCCCCACCCCTGCTGTAAAGGGTAAGATAAAAAAATCTTTAAAACTGCATTCAAAATATTAGCTATTTACAAAATTCATACTACACCCCCTCCAATAAAAACCCCACCCCAAAACAAAAAATCCAAACTTGTGTAATTTATCTGTATAACATTTATTAATCCACAACAAAGAAATACTTCTGACGTGGTTTAAAAAAAAATCTAGCTGCCCTAAAGTACTTTGAAGTTCCTCAAAAGCTCTGTATCTCAGCAATTAAGCAAGGAAATCAGTTATGTGGAGTGTTCCAACAAATCAACAGAACTAGTAACTTCTAAAATAAATGACTATCAAAACAAAGGTTTCAGATTCATTGATCGAAGCACTCTAAAAAGCCTTTGCTCAATTGGAATTCTATACAGTTTGGATTTAGTTCTGCAGCTATTGGCCCGCAGGAGTTTAGCTCTGTGCCATTGAAGAGTCCTGTCCCTTTCAAGGATCTCTTTCATTCTCTCCATAATGTCAGTTTTGGTCTCTTGCATTTTATTAAACCTGCCCTCCCATCCCCCTGCCATGTATGGCAGTTGGGCTCTTTGAAGTGGCTTTAGGAGATGCACTGAACATGCTACTATGGAGAGGACTCAGCCCCTAATAAATTTGGTGACCAGATTGGCTTGTTGTTGAGCCAAGGGGAAAGAGTGCAAAGGGATGATATAGCCCAGTGAGAGAACCTACTATCTTGTTGACAACTCTGAAACCCATCTCAGCCAGGGAATTGTTCACAACCCCAAAGTGGAGGTGAGAGTCTTCTCCAACAGCATTTGAGGTGATGGATGTGGATGGAGAAGGTTATGGTCACCTACGCTTAGACAGGAGCTCCTTCCTTTGCAATGACCCAGTATTTGAGGACTGTAGAGGATCGCTCAGAAAAGATTTGTGAACTTTTCATATTTAAAGGGACTGATCTTATCCTTCTCTTAATTAAACCCTTCCTGGTCCCAGCACAGAGAACAGGCCTCAGAATAGAGAGAAATACACAAGAGGTGGGGAGCTCACTTACAGGAGGAATTCCTTGCCAATGAGCAGCTCTTCAACTCTGAGCCATGCAGTGGGATAGTGCTGGAGACCAAGTGGTATCCTGAACAGAATGGCCGACTGCCCAGCCCTCATTCTCATCATCTTGGGATTCCTGCAGTCTAGAAGCCAGAGTAAACCCAAAGATAGATAGGGCTCTCAATTATTGTCTCTTGTATGTCTGCTTGGGTGGCAATGGTAATCATTGCACATTCTGAATATTGCACCCAGAAGCCAGGAAATAACTGATATATTTCAGGCTGTTGACATTGATTTCTAAAGCCCTGTATGGTTTGGAACCTGGGTGCCACTTCATAGAATCATAGGACAGAAAGGGACCTCGAGAGGTCATCTGGTCCAGCCCCCTGTACTCATGGCAGGACTAAGTATTATCTGGATCATCCCTGACAGGTGTTTGTCTAACCTGCTCTTAAAAACCTCCAATGATGGAGATTCCACAGCCTCCCTAGGCAGTTTATTCCAGTGCTTAACCACCCTGACAGTTAGGAAGTTTTTCCTAATGTCCAACCTAACCCTTCCTTGCTACAATTTAAGCCCATTGCTTCTTGTCCTATCCTCCGAGGTTAAGAAGAACATTTTTTCTCCCTCCTCCTTGTAACAACCTTTTATGTACTTGAAAACTGTTATCATGTCCCCTCTCAGTCTTCTCTTTACCAGACTAAACAAACTCAGTTTTTTCGATCTTCCCTCATAGGTCATGTTTTCTAGACCTTTATTCATTTTTGTTGCTCTTCTCTGGACTTTCGCCAATTTGTCCACATCCTTCCTGAAATGTGGCACCCAGAACTGGACACAATACTCCAGTTGAGGCCTAATCAGTGCTGAATAGAGTGGAAAAATTACTTCTCGTGTCTTGCTTACAACACTCCTGCTAATACATCCAGAATGATGTTCGCTTATTTTGCAACAGTGTTACACTGTTGACTCATATTTAGCTTGTGGTCCACTATAACCCCCAGGTCACTTTTTGCAGTACTCCTGCCTAGGCAGTCATTTCCCATTATGTATGTGTGCAACTGATTATTCCTTCCTAAGTGGAGTACTTTGCATTTGTCCTTATTGAATTTCATCCTATTTACTTCAGACCATTTCTTCAGTTTGTCTAGATCATTTTGAATATAATCCTATCCTTCAAAGCACTTGCAACCCCTCCCAGCGTGGTATCATGCGCAAACTTTATAGGTGTACTCTCTATGCCATTATCTAAATAATTAATGAAGATCTTGAACAGAAGCGGACCGAGAACTGATCCCTGTGGGACTCCACGCGTTATGCCCTTCCACCATTACTGTGAGCCACTGATAACTACTCTCTGGAAATGATTTTCCAACCAGTTATGCACCCACCTTATAGTAGCTCCATTTAGGTTACATTTCCTTAGTTTGTTTATGAGAAGGTCATGTGAGACAGCATCAAAAGCCTCGCTGAAGTCAAGATACACCATGTCTACTGCTTCCCCCCATACACAAGGCTTGTTACCCTGTCAAAGAAATATGTGACGTCAGCTTGCATATTCTTGCTAACAGTCCTAGATTTGAATTTCTGGGTGCTGCTGGCAGGGCACTGTCTGGTGGAAGTATGAATTCCTTATGCGTTTCCTCAGTTAGCCAGAGGAAAAAATGCTTGTATCGATCTTTCTGTTGATTTAGGCAATGTAGTCTTTTTTTTTTTTCCCCTAAATGATGCACTTGGGCCAAGTGACAATGGTAATATGATTCTTTTGTAATTTTTACTTACATTTATTAAAAGTAACACTGACTAGGCTGATAGACGGACTGCATAGTTGGGACCTAATTCCCAAATGCTCTGTACTCTTTGCCCTATTGTGGATACAGCTTTTAGAAGACACTATCACATCCATTCTTTTCTTTGTTCTAACTAATCTGCACTTTAATTTTGGGTTCCTTTTATAGGACAGCTGAGAATGTGTGACTTGATTTATTTTCCCTATAACCTTCATCACTTTGAATGCCTTGCTAATGTCCCTGCTACTACTCCAGTGTAAAGAATTCTTAGCTTTTCAGTTGCTTTTAAACTAATTAAAAGGCAGCCATTTTCTATTAGAAGCACACAAAGTTAAAACATTTGCCAAATGGAAAATAAAGTCAATAGAGAGTACAATATTTTCCATGTGTGTTGCACTGGAGAATGAAAACAAATTATACTATAACTGGTAATTGACCATGCTCTTCCTTTTTTGCTAATATTAAACAACTTGTATTTAACATTATTATGTTTAAAAGTAACAAAGCAAAATTTTAAATATAGGAAATCCCTTAAGATAGTAAAAAGTATTATGACAGCCCAGTCATGCAGCATAATATAGGTGGGCCTAAGCTTGCTGTTCCAGGGTTCTTTGATTTAAACAAGAAGATGCTTGTCACATTAATTTTGTATAAGATATTTAATTACCTTCAGAGTATTTTGTTCTTCAGTGAACATTCTTTTATATAGGAAAAAAACTGAAGTTAATAGCACTCAGGTCATAACTCAGAGGTACATTTAAAAAAAAAAAATCTGGTTTAAGTATCAGGCTATACTTGGAAATTCCTGGAGTTCACTTGTCACAATATCTGTCATGTTGCCTACAAGAAGGGTTTTTAAAAAAAAATTAAAAATCTAATATAACAGAACCATCAAGATGTGTATATGCCTTACTGTCTAACTGCTTAATCTTATTGTTGTAACCCTTCTGCTTCCTCCATCTTCCCCTCCCACCTTTTAATCCATTTATTTATTGATGACCTTCACTTTTTGTGGTGTCTGAAATTTCAATCGTGAAACTCATCTGAACCAATGCAGTCTGTTTCCTCCAAAGTGCATTGCACAATTATAAGTGATCAAAGTAATATGTAATGCTAACACTAATGGTGGTGTGTTTTTAGTTTGTATAATTGGCTTGTTTTATTTAAAAATCATAAAAGAGATAGGAAAACTTATTAAATGTACACACACAAGGTCCCTTTGGAATGGATACAGCTTGCATATTTAGGCCATTCATATCTTTTTTGTTTACCAAAAAAGGTTTGTTTATTTAATACAGAAACCTTTTAAGTTGTTACACTGTCAATTTTGTTGCTGCAGGTAATGTCATGTGAAAGTAGATGAGTGGTCACCAACCCATCAATCGCGATCGACTGGCCAATCCTGGAGTCTCGGCCAGTCGATCGTGATCTCCAGGCTGCTAAAAGTCTGGCAGCACATTGGGGCTCAGAGGCTAGCTGCTGGCACATCTCTGTGGCCCTGGGAAGTAGGGGAGAGGTGAGGCGGCTCCGCACACTGCCCCCTCCCCCAGCACTGTCCCCATTGGCTGGTTCCCACTTGCAGGCGCGAGCAGTGCACGGAGACCTGCTGCTCCCACCCACAGGGGCTGCATGCAGAGATTTCCGGGAGCAGTATGGGGCCATAGCAGGCAGGTAGCTTGCCTGAGCCCTGCTATTCCGCCAGCCGGGAGCCGCCGCCTGTGGTAAGCACTTACCAGCCGGAGCCTGCACCACACACTCTCTCCTGCACCCCAGCCCAGAGCTCCCTCCCAGACCTCACACCCCCTTACAGACCCCAAACCCGTGTCCCAGCCCAGAGCCCCCTCCTACACCCAAACTACCTCCCAGAGCTTGCACCCCTCACTCCTGTTCTTCTTTCCTTACATGGATCATGGGTTCCTGAAACTACCTTTGTTCTTATACTGCCACCTACTTAAAATGCTTCAAGATCATGTGGTGAAAGTTGGTGTCATTCAACTAATTGAATATCTGGTATAAATTATTATACCCAAAAAGACTGATTATGAGCCATGTTGTTGTGCACTGATTTTTATATTCCATTTACCACCTGTTTTGGCATGCAAGTCTAAGTATGCAGTATCTGACAGATCTTGAATACTCTGCCATTCAAGGCAGCTATGATGCTGTCAATTGATTAACACATTGTATGTCGATAGAGTGATTGTCTTTTTGTTGAGTTTATGCTGTAGTGTATAGCGTAAGGGAGTCACTGAGTTAATTAGCTCTGTGGCAGTACAACAGTACCTACAACCTGGATCCATATAATGGCTTTGTGATTAATTTACAGTTGGTATATTCAGGTGGGTGAGATAGCAAGCTCTGAAATTCTTGCACACATAGTAAACTACTGCTTTCTGTGTAAGCTCAAAAGCTTGTGTCTCTCACCAACATAAGTTAGTCCAATAAAAGATGTTACCTCGCTCACCTTGACTTTCTGTTTCAGAAAGTATTCTTCCCAACTGTGTTGTTCTGAATGCTGTAACAGCTTCTGTGTGTGGGACAGGGGATGTATTTTATTTTTTCACCAGTTCTCTGAACACTTTCTTTTCTCCCTTTTTCTAGCCATTCCAGTCAACGCACAAACATCTGACAGTGGAAGAATTATTTGGAACCTCCTTGCCAAGGGAACAACCAACAGTTTCATATCCCAATCCAGACAGAATGGAGAAGTTGCAAGCTGACACTACAGGCAGAGAGCACAACTTATTCTTACCTTTTTCACTTGAGCAATCAGCAGTGACACACCAACCATTGCGGAAACCAGAGAGTACAAGTGTCAAAAACAATGGCAGTACTTTGAATCAGCAAGAGCGTGTAGCACCCATGCTGATTGCTCCAGCTTCAGTTTTGCAGCCTGACGTAAAGAATGTTTCAAACTATACAGTTCAGTTAAGCCCTATTCTTAATTCAGCCTCAACAACAGAAGCTCCTTCTGCTCAGATACTTCCCAACCTAAACTCAAACAGTAATATAATGCAAGTTATGCATCAAGCTGCTAAACAGATGTCCCCACTTATGAATCAGACACCATCTGATGTGAATCACACGCCACAAAACCTAATTGCTGGCCAAAACCAGTTCATAGCACCTTTGGCAGCAACTAATACAGGAAATGCTTCAAATACACACCTTCCAAATGTTGACCTTCTCCAGAAACTCAGGTTGACCCCACAGCAGGACCAAATACAACAGTCTCTTAGTAAAACTACCATGGCACCTAGCATTTCATCCACAGTTAGCCAGCTTGCAACACCAGAAAGCTTCAAAGAATCCCACACCAAACCAGCATCACTGAGTAGCAAAATAATCACACCACTTCAGGTATTCTATGGTTTTATATATGTTTGTATTTCTTTTAAAATATTGCCAGGCAACAAATGCTTTGTCCTTTAAATTTGAACTTCCTTAGAAATTAGCTTTTAACTCTAAGGGTTTTATTGTAAGCATTAGATGATTTGTTACAATACTTCTAGATGAGAAATCTGCTCTCTTCTGCTTTCTCATTAAAATGTTGGTTAATAATTTGAAATTTTTCTAACTGACTTAGGTGGCAGCTTTCTCAGAGCCATGTCAGTGTAGCTCTCTGTCATGCCAACAGAATTTATAACTTTGACGTGGCATGGACTTCTGAGATATTCTAGTTTTGTTTTTAATCACATACCATTTGTAAAGTTTCCAACTGAATTTGAAAGTATTCCTTCTGCAGAATTCTCTTCTGTGTTGAGGGAAATTCTTAATTCTCCATCGCACTTCTCAGGATATGTGGATATATTAGTGGCTTGCTAAATGGCCAAGAAGTTACACTGGATTTCAACTATTTGTAGTTGAGAGTTGACAGGCAGAGCACATTTGACAGTTAAATTCTGCCAATAGGCGCTATTCTCCCCCTATAATTTTCAGCTATCATAAATGATAGAGTTGTTTGTAGAAGAACAGTTAATCAGGCTGCTATCACCATGGACAAGTATGCTGCAAGTAGTCCACCAGTGTCTATAATTGCGAAAATGCTACTGAATGTTGATGGTGTGCATTCCTGATATGTGGAATAAAAGGTTTGTTGTCACAGATTTCCTTCCTAGATAGTTCTGTAGTAGTGCTGCAGAAGTCAATAACAAGTTCCAGTCAAGGGTTTATGAAGGTATAGAACTTAATATGATTGTCCTGTCTTCAGTTTCCCCTTTTGTCATTCCTTCGAAGTGCTTCACCATTCCTGTTTTGGACGTAATTCCTTGTTTGTGAATCTATGGTAATACCGCTGAGAGGCTATTGGTTGTCCAGTTGAACGGGCAATCATTTTTGATCTACATCTTATGTAGACGACCTTGAGGTCACTGATGTTTCCTTTTAGCCTTATTTTCAGAATTTTATTGCTAAACTTTTTTTCTGAGACCCAATTAAGAGTAGTGAGCCTTTTCCGTGTATGGAGGCTGATACTCAGATATAAATGTAAGCACAAAAGGTTTTGAGAGACAGCTTGGATGTGCAATGCTGTTGTGTGTAGCTGTGGTTTGGTTTGGTTTTCTTTTAGTTTGGTGCAAACTCACCATTTTTTCCACTTGTGAGTGCTATTGCATGCTGTTAGCTACTTATATGGTCGTGTTAATTAAACTGAACAAGGTATAGTTGATCTTCCTTCTAAACAGATGGATTTTCTCTTGTACCTACTTATGGAGTCATCCAGAATTTTAGTCTTGTGTTTTTAGCATTTATGTAGATTAAGCAGATATATTTACAAAACATTTATGCTGTTCTCTTGGTTTTACTTTACTGATGCACTTCATCAAGATGTGACTGTAAACGGGGAATCATTATCACGCAAATGTGTTTCTAGTGGGGTCCTGTAGGACCAAGAACTAATTGATGCGCTTTTTAACATTTTTATTCGTGAACTGGAAGAAAACCTAAAATCTTCACTGATAAAGTTTGTAGATGACACAAAAATTAGGCAAGTGGTAAATGTGAGGAAGACAGATCACTAAAACAGAGATCTGATTTAAAATACTTTTTCTGAAATTCTAGCAAGCTCCAGTATTCTCAGATTTCAATTCTATATTGAGATTTTTACATCTGCTTTTAGCAAAACATAGAATAGAATTTTTTTGTGAACTTGATTATCTTGTCTACTAAAATTTATTGAGCACTTCATTTCATTGAGATTGGTTTGCCATCATTTTCCAGTGTACCTTAAAATCTGGGTTCTGAGATTTAAGTTCTTTTTTCTTTTTCTTTTCTTTTTTTTTCCTCTTCTTTTACTTCTATAGTCCCTGTCCTTGGAATTCTTTAACTATGGTTGAAGGGTTGCTGATTCTGTAGTCTTCAAATGTAAACTTCAATCTTGTAATCTTTTCAACTTGCCTTTACATGTTTTCATCTATTATTTTGCTCCATTTATGAAATATATAAATATAAAAAACTGCATAGAATTGGATATCATGTCTGTCTTATTGTAGACCTTGACTTGTAATATCCAAGAAAATATATAATTTAATTGGAGGAAAAACCGAAGATAACACTACTAGAAATTCAGACGCTGACAATAACGTGTACCACACTTTTTTTTTTTTAAATTGCAGACCATACAGCAAAACAAGGAGCCAGATGTATTTTCACAACCCAAGGCTTTGCCAAAAGCCAGCCAAGTAAGCATATAAACTTTTCTCCAGCAAATTAAATATTTCTGATGTCAAAGTTTTCTATTTTACAGCAAATAATTTCATGTATCTTGAAGACTAAAGTACAAGACTGTAGTCATTAACATGCCCATTAGTCCTGTTTCCACCTCTGAAAGTTTGAAAAATGCTATTCTGGTTAGAAGAGAGACTATATACTAAAAATGGCCCCTCTTTAGTAGGGGATCTCTTCCCTGCATGTTAGCTGTGCAGTGATATGGGAAAGTGAACTAGTCTCTTCTGCTTTGTGAAATATGAATAGGAATAGCAGCAGACTGCAGCATCTTTTATTGCTGGTGTTGTTGCAGGAACTAGAAAGAATATATCTTGACTCTCCAATCCTAGGTGCTGTTTGAACCAGTAGCAGTTTTTAAAAGCATTTTCATTTGTAGATGGTGGTAACTGAGAAGCAGTAACTAGAGAACTCCATATTTCCATCATTATTTTTACTTAATGTTTATGTTGGGGTAATACCTAAGGGCCTCAATCTATTCTGGATGCTGGGCACTGTTCAAACATGGTAAATGATAGTCCCTACCCCCAAAAAGCGTACAGTCTGAAAGACAAGGCAGACATAATAGGTAGATGGGACAAATAGGTGTGAGGAAAAGGGAAGGACAGTGTCCCAAAAAATATTGTGCTCTAGCACAAACTAGTTGTGAGCACAGTTTTGTTGCCAGTTGGTAGCAGTAATCATTGTAATCACCACTTGCTGTTTTTATAGATTCAGTTTTCAGATTGTTAGAACCACAAAAGAATAACCTTTGAACATCCAGGTCAATATATTATCAAAAGGAACTTTTAGAATCTAGTCAGAAAATAATTAGCAGTAGCCTAAAAGCAAGATCGTATCTTTTAAAATATACTTGACCTCCAATGATTTTTATTTAATTATTTATGTCTAAATAAAATGCACAGTGAAATGTAGTCCTTAGTGGTGGCCTGCAGCATCTAAACTGATTAGTGGCTTTACAAAAATCATGAATGGTAAGGCTTTTAAACACTATTACTAAATCATGCCATTCTAATTCCTCTTGCATTATATAAAAGCTGCTTTAGTTGCATGTTCATCTCTAATCGGGAGGGCAACAAAATGACTTTGTTCACAGTTCAGTGCAGTCTGTAAATTGGCCAGTAGTCAATGATCAGTTAAGCAGTGTGCCCACAGTTTTTAAAAAAAAAAAAAAAAAAAAGCATCACTTTTGGACTCAAAAGACAATTTAGTGTGCTGGTGGTGTGCCACTGACTAAATGTGCAAGTTTAAATGTGCTGTGATGATTTTAAATTAAATCTTACTGTGGTATTTCCCTACTATGTTGAATTTAATATATATATTTTGCAAGGTTTAACCTTTTTGATGTGACTCTCTATGTAAACATTAAGGGTGAATAGTTTTGCCCTATTTCTTTTTATAATGGAAGATTTTGAATTTCCAAGGGAAGCTTTTTGTTTGTGTATAAAGCTTATTTGAGTTTCGCCATTTATTTCTGCTTTCCTTCTTTGGTAAAACTGCTGATGTTGCCAAAATGAATCCCAAACATTTTGGTCATCCAGAAAGCCTAAGCAAAAGAAGCAGGTAGATCAGTATATTCAATATAAAACTGAGGTGACAGGGAGTCTTCAGATTAATCACTGGAGAGAGTGAGCTTTCCCTACCCTCCTCACACAGATCTAGCCTTCTGACATTTTGGGGGCTCTTAAACTTGAGGAGAAGGTATGCAGTTATACTGACCAAACTCCTGGCGTAGACAGCACTATGTCAACAGGAAACGCTCTCCTGTAAGTATAGGTAGCATCTTCACTAAGTGCTACAGTGGCGCAGCTGCAGCGCTGTAAGTGTAGACAAACCCTCAGTTCTTGCTACTCTGATTTACTTTATACGGAGTTAAGAACACAAGAGGGTAGTGATTGCAGAGAAGAATTGTGCCTACAAAGAGGATAAATCTGTATCTTGTTCAGCTCCTAAAAGTTTGATATTTGTAAAGCAAACAGATGTGACTCAACTAATTAAGTTCCAATGCATTTCCTTTTATGCATGTATAGCTTTAATGTTCTATACTGGTATTTTGTGTTTTATATGCTACAAAAGCCAGCTTGTTAGAAGTATACATTTTAAGGAACTCAGTATGATAATGATCATGCCTAGGGGCAGTGCCCTGAAGAGCTGCTAAATTCCCTAGGGTTCCTGAGGTTCCTAATGCTTCCCAGTAGTTGATGAATCTATTTTCTCCATCCTGTCATCTTTGAAATCATGTTGTATATGGTTCTATTTATGTTAGTTTGTCTTTGCATGAGATTTTTTTTCAGGTGTACAACTACCGAAAGTGCCAAGTGTTTAAAAAAAATAATTTATGATCAAAAGATCCGCAGCATAGACAGACACCAGCAGTGAGATTTCAAATGGAGCCATTTTAAATCCTCCCAGTTCTTAATCTAATTAACTGATTTATTTGACCTTAACAAACATTTAATCTGCATCCTAAGAGTAAAGAGAAAACTTCGGACACTTTTCTCATCCCTCTCATAGGTTGAAATGGTAAAATGCAGCAGTCTTATCTATGAAGGCAGTAAAGGCTCTTCCATAATCTACAGATATAGGTATTAGTCTTTACAAATAGGTATTTGTCTGATCAGAGTTTGATATAAAAACAGTCTCTAAATTTCTATTTAGGTAACATATATCACAACAATGGTTAATTCATCCAGGTTCTTATAAAGGCACTTCTCTCCACAGTGTACATGGTGCTTAATTATTTTCCTTTCTTTTGCAGGTCGCACCTCCACAGTTTGTTACAGCCACAACTACAGTGACTCCTTCAATCCTCTTGTCTCCTAGTGTTTTCCAGCAGTCAGCTACAAAATCCACTGAAATGGAGAGTAAAGCCAGTTCCTCTTCTCCTCTAACACTTGGAGCAACAGAAATTCAGACAATGCCTCCTACTGTTCTCAGTAGGTCTCAGCTCCAGGAAACCTTAATACATCTAATAAAGGTACTGTCAGTATCAGATTAAACCACTTTGGGTTTTTTCTGAATACAGAGGCAAGTAATGAGACTCCGTGCACTGGCAACTCCCATTGGATTCAATAGACGTTACAAGAGCTCAGCACTTTTGAGAGCCTGATGATTCCACACAGGTCCCATGTGTAGAGATGGTCCCTTGACTCAAGGTGTCTTCCTTCCCAGGATGGCACAATTTACTTCCTCTCTGGGATCCAGGTTTAGTGATGAGGTGGGGAACAGCTGAGGGTAAGCCACGAGGGACATGCATTGGACCTCTTCCTTCTCCATCCACATACATCTCTGTGAAACTCTGCAGAAAAGTTAATGCAGCTTCAGGATGTTTTAACATTCCTGTGGAGCCCCTCCTGCTGCTTAGCTCCCTCTTAAAGGGCATTCCAGGGGTGGACTTCATGCCTGCAGTCTTTGGCAGCACAGCTCCAATGGATCTGCATGGTGCAGAAAGGAGCTCGGGGATTTGTGCAGAGGCCTCTCTATAGTATTGCAAATCTAGCCTCTTGCAAATCTCACAGGATGTGCAGAATTTGTGGGTAAAGAGAAAAGTTGCAGAGTCTCTATGCCATTCTGTAGGTTTTTATGCTGAAAGGGGTGATTTGATGCAGGATTTTGCCCGCAAGAAGTTTAAAAATATGTGTATGTAAAATCAAAATATATTTCATTAATAGCTCAACCTGGAAGTAACTTGACCATTACATTTTTATTTAACAAAGTATTCCAGTTACAGATGAGTTTTTTCTTTGTTCCTTTTTTAGGGGCATGAACTCACCTTGAAATGGAAACTGCAAGCATTCTGATTAATGAATTAGAAAGTTTCAATGAGTGTGTTTTAATGCTTCAATTAATATTTCTGCTGAAATTCTGTTTTGTAACTTCTACTGCAATGTTCCTCAGGCCAGGTCTACACTTAGAATGCTGTAGCAGCCCAGCTGCACTGATGCAATTGCAGCACTGTAGCACTTCAGTGAAGACGCTACTGTGCCAACAGGAGAGCTTCTCCTGTCGGCATAGTTAATCCATCTCCACAAGAAGTGGTAGCTGTGTCGACGGGAGAAGTCCTCTCGTCAACGTAGCACTGTCTATGCTGGGGGCAAGGTCAGTATAACTACATTGCTCAGGGATGTAGATTTTTCCTGCCCCTTGGTGTTGGAGTTATACCAATATAATGCAGACCTGGCCTCAGTAAATCACAACAGAGCTATTGCTCCTATAGAGCCATATAGCAAGAGGATTATTTAGCCTCTTTCTGTTGTAAAATTACCATCAGTGTCACAAAACTTTGTGCGACATTAGGGCTCTCTTACTCTTTCCACACTGATCTCGACAGGTCTTGCACACAAAATGCAGCTCTAAAAATAAGACTACAGAAACCTAGCTCCTAGCGATAGAATTGTTAGGTCTGGAAGGGGCCCATAATAAGTCATATGATCAGTTTGGTGGCTGTTTTTGTTCTTTTGCATGACCTGCCTTTTTTTGCAGGACCTGCAGCTGTAACAAAAAACACTTGCTGACCCAGGAAAAACCTGCAAACTGAGCCAGTCTTTTATTATTATTTTTATTTATTGTCGGAGGCAGATTACAGGCAGAAATCTGTGCAATCTTGAGGACACTATTTGTGCTGTTCCAGTTCCAAAGGGAGCAGTACTTTTTATGTGCACTCTGTATAGACCGTATTTAGACAGGAACCTGAATGCTGATCAAAATTATCCTCCCCAGAAGTGGGGGATTACTATAAATAGTGACTGCAGTAGAGTACAAAGGGCTGAAGTGAAAATAATGCTGAAGGAGAAGAATATTCATCTTCATGCTGATTGATTAGGTGTCTGTTGTAGGGTTTACCAGTATATCTCATTTGAATGGTTAGAACCCAAGAAAACTAGAATAGCTTTAAATATTGCATATAAGTTAGCATACTGAGTTTCCTGGTAATATACTGATCTAGGATTTTAGACCAGGAATACACTGTGCATTGGTTTCCAAATTGGTCTTAGATTAGAAGTGTAAGTAATTGCAGAAAGTCTTTTCATATAATTGGTGGCACTGCTTGGAGATGGATTTGGGAGTCAGTACTGTTCAGAAATGCACAAAAAGCAAAATTCACCGCACCCCTGTGACGCTCGGGTAATGGGACTTGATGTGGTTGAAGTGAGCAGGAGTTCTGGGGGACAGTACCTTCCAACTCAGGGCCAGGACTGCAGTGCGCATTCTTTTCCACCCACTTAAAATTACTAGCACATTGCAGGGGCTGGAATAATGGTGGCTGTTGTCCTGCAGTGTTACTTGTGCTGGATGTTAGGACTGCTTGAAACAGGGGCGGGCAAACTTTTTGGCCTGAGGGCCACATCAGGTTTCTAACCTGAGGGCTGGTTAGGGGAGGCTGTGTCTCCCCAAACAGCCAGGAGTGGCCCAGCCCCCACCTTCTATCCGATAGCCCACCTCTACCTTGCTTCTCGTGCCCTGATGGCTCCCCCAGGACTCCTGCCCCATCCACCACCCCCTGTCCCCTGACTGCCACCCCGGGACCCCTGCCCCATCCAACCCCCCTGTTCCCCGCCTTCTGACCGCCCCAGCCACTATCCACACCCCTGCCCCCTGACAACCACCCCGAAATCCCCTGCCCTCTATCCAACCCCCCCCCGCCCCCTTACCGCACTGCCTGGAGCACCGGTGGCTGGCGGCGCTACAGCCGCACCGCCCAGAGCACCGGGTCAGGCCGCAGCTCGACAACTGCGCTGCCCGGCCGCCCAGAACTGGGGCCGGGGGCTAGCCTCCAGGGCCAGAAGCTCAGGGGCCGGGCAGGAGGGTCCCGCTGGCTGGATGTGGCCCGCAGGCTGTAGTTTGCCCACCTCTGGCTTGAAATGTATAATCACGGATCTTACAGTCCTGGCCCCCAGCCTCATGCTCCCCCAGTCTCTGATGCCTGTGCAGCAGTGCCTTCGTGCAGCCAGTCCTCCCTATATTCCCCACTGTGAAGAGACACCCACCCCATCTTGAGGCTTAACTTATTCACAATTAAGTAGCAAAAATCAGCACTTAAGTGTATGTTTTCAGTTAATGTTCTGCATATGCTCTTTTCCCCTCCTGCAGAATGATTCCAGTTTTCTCAGTACTGTTCATGAAGTCTACTTGCAAGTCCTGACCAAGAATACAGACATCAAACTATAATTGAAGTTAATTCAGTTCAACTGACAATATGTCTGCTTCTGAAACAATTATGCCTCATCTATAAAGCTGTAATATTTTTTTAAAAAGAATATTTAGTTTTCAGTGTCTTGAATTTTGAACCTGTTGGGAAAGACTATTCCTTAAAAATGCTTCTAAAAAGTAATCTTCTCAGAAGTGATCTAGGTTTCACTGTGATCATCACCAGCAAACCTTTGTTTCTAAGGAAAAATTTAGTTGCATATGAGCTTTCATTAGCATTAAGTGAATGTGCAAATGTTTTCTCTGACTTTTTTTTCTAGCTATCTTCAGTACTAAAGAGTTAAGGGGAACAGTGCTGTTTTTAACCTATCAGGTGTACAGTACACTACACAGATCAGAACAAAACTCAGTTGTAAAACCCACTTCCAGTTCTGAGGGCTTTGTAGAGGCTGGGGAGGCTCATTTATCGTAATAAACTGGTTGATGGCAGATGTGCATGTAGTAAAAGATACTGCAGTCAGGCTTGGAGCTGGGTGCCCTTAAAGCTAGATGTTTGAGGTAGGGGTTAAAAATACTTTTGCCCATTCCTGAGCAACAAACAGCCTTTACCCTGTAACTGTTCTGTTAGTTTTTGGCTTTGCATCTTTGGTGTCCATTGAAATATGCTTGGTTTCTCTAAAAAGATTGAATCCAAAGTGTGCACGATCCTAGGCTAGGGCAATCATGTGCTCTTTAAGTAACAGCCTGATTTCTGTAAATTTTTAAAATCAGATCTGGGGAAGAACATCACTCTAAGACTATTATTTTCCTATTCCCTGGGACTATATATGATATTTGAAATACATTGTTTCTGTTCAGCTAAGGATGAGCCAATGCCAGAATTGAGTTTCATTATTCACTTGTGTTGGCACTGTAGTGTTGAAAACTATACAGATGCGGAAAAATTGCAAACTGACCCCTTGCCTCCAAAATTTTTTTCACGTTGTGTAGTACTGCGTTGTGTTTAGTTGAAAAGTGAATGCTTCTTACATATGGTTTATCATTTCAGTATTTACCAGTGTAAGAATCCGACGACTTCATGTCTCCCCATTTGAAGTCAGAAAAGAATCCTTAATGATATTTTACTATGCTGCTATTGGTCTGTCTGTGACTTATATTTATTTCTATATGGCATGAAAAGGTACTTAGTAATACTTTAAAGTAGCTCTCAGTTGATTCCAGTAATACTAATTTTAAGGAATGGTTTTTGAGTAGAGAGGTCTTGGCATATTTGCTAATGGATAATTTGTAGTAAATTTAACCAGGTAGGATGCTTTGCTTATTTTTTCCAAGCACTATTGCAATGAAGAAGAAACGAGTTTGTTTGGCTCTACAAAATAGAATATCCTAGGGATTAGTTATAATAATGTTGACATAGTCAAGGGTTCAGGGTCACTTCATTGGAAATGATCAAATAAGCTTTAATTGTGACTCCATCACAAAGCAGTGGGTTTCTTCTAGTTATAACAAAATGTTTGTTTGCATTTTTCATGTCTAATAATTGTTTTAGTTTGAACTTTGTTTTTGAATAGAAAAGATTTTTGTTTAGCAAAATTTGCCTTCTGAAGAGTTTTTCAGCCTTTGAACTCAGTGTTTTTAATTAAAAATATTTAGTATTTTTATGTTAGTATGCAGAATTCAGGGAAACATACTAGTGATCATGTGTATTTACCAAGAAATATATTAACATTAATGGTAGCATTTGAATTCAGCAACAAAGACTTTCTGGACTTCGTAAGGAAGAAGGCGACCTAGTCACATACTAGAATTATAATAGCATGTGCATGCACAAAGCAATGTAAATTTGATTAGTTTATCTAAACCCATACACCTGATCCAAATCAAACTTGTGAGGGCCTTTTTGGAGGAGAAAGAATAGGAAAAAATGCCAAACTAGAGAGAGGTGCTTTTGGATATAGTCCTAGTGGACAATAACCAAGACCCTCAAGTAGGTGTCTTTCTCTGGCTTCAGCAAAGACTGAAGCAGTAATTTTCTTGACTTTTATGAGCATTTCTACTAGCTTGAAAAGGAGGATGGATGGATGGAAGGAGGAGTTCCCAAGTATAGAAATGAGAAAAGGAGCTACTGAGATGATACCAATTACAAACATTTCTGTTAACTTTCGGTTAAATACAGACTCATGTTTAAAATGTCATATCCAAAGATTTATATAAATTATGGGACACTAAGATTTCCCTCATATGGATTGTACTTTCATTTTAAGTCTAAGTCATGAACAGTTGATAATAAAGGGAATGTTATTTTAAGTAGCAACAACATTACAAGAGTTTGATTATGATTTAAACCCCAACATTTTACATTTTTGTTTAACGTGCTTGTGTTATAACTGTCCAGGAACCTCAACACGATGTTGGTAGATCCAAGTTCTCTTAATTTTTATATTCTGCTAATCTGAAAAAGTGTCATCTTCCCAGCTTGCAGAATGAATTTAAATCACCGTGACTAAGCAAGCTTTCTAATGAGTACAACTGATTTCTGTTCACATTGAATTCTTACTCACATTTACTCCACCTGCTGTATGTATAAACAGACGCACACTGGGAGAACAGGAGTATCCTGCAGGTGCAGAGTGCCATGATAGTGCTTTTTGTAATATGACAAAATTTAACAGATAAACCTCTTTAATGAAGAACTGCATTGTAAAACAAGCTCTGCTGCAACATAAAACTGGAGATGTTTTATAATGTGGAAGTTGTTTGACAGCTTCATTCTGGTTATTTTGAACTTTTGTATTCTAAAATGGTCAAGTTCGTTTCATTGCTTGATTCATGTTAGCTGCATGTACTGATAGTTAATGCATAGCTCGTTACCATGGGTCATCACAGCAACTTAACATGATCATTTAAAGTGGCTTTTTGTTTTGGTAAAACTACTACTTAATGTGATTGTACCCATTAGTTCTGAGAGTGAAAACAATTAGTTTAGACTATATTCCCAAAATTAATTATTTGTCTAAGCACGTGTTTTCTGTGGTCAATGTTAAGTCACTTTAAAAATTATAACCTTCTAATCAAAGATGGTTTTAAGATTTACAGCTTTATTATTCACAAAATTAAAATTGTTTCTCAGTTTTGTAGCTGTTAATATCGCAAAGTTGTATGAAAGGTGCTGAACAGCTATTAATTTGGAAGCCGTATATCTTGTAAAAGAAGAAAATATTTGCAAAAGAATTGAGGCAAAGTGTGAAACTGCAAGAGTGATTATTAATTTTAGTTTCATATAACAGATGTTTGACTTGCCAGGTATTGATATTCAACATGTTTGAACATTTGCTGCTGGACATGTTTCATTTTGCCTACATTTTTGTTTTGCTTCATTTTTGGTACATTCCTTGAACCTATAATGCCCCATCTAGTCAAGTATGCAATTACTGGGAAACTTTTAAAAGAGAGTGATTACTTTGGAAAGTTATCTTTAAAAGTATGTGAGAAATCAGACACTTTTTTCAACTATTTGAATTGCTTCTTGCTTACAGCATATCTTTACAGGAGGAATGTGTGCAATATATTTCACCTCAGTTTAGCCTGACATTGTTGTGAAAATGTTAAGATGCAATATCTTCCTTCCACTTTAAATTGGAAAAAATTGCAATATCTTTCCCTGATGGTCTATTTATTTTTATCTATTCTGTGTATGGGCACATTGGTGGGGGGGAGGGTTTAAAATGTAAAGTATGCATTTTTAACTGTCATTTTTTTTACCACTTTTTTTTGGCTGCACCAGTTGTTATTTACTTGCATGTTCTTACAGTATGAAGATGCTCAAGACACTGGGATTTTTAGTAATGATTTCTGGAAACATGGTATGCAAACAGGTTTTTTTCAAGTCAGTAAACGTAGATACTGCATCACTAACATTATGGTATGGACTTCTTTATACCATCTATGTATGTTTGCAAATATTAAGTTATTGCATAAATGTTTAAGAATTAGCATTTTTCATCCAAAATTTTGTATGTTTGCAAATATATTTTTGTAATAAAATTTCAAAAACAAATATTTCAGCACGTCTTACAATCTTCCAGTGTTTTATTTCACTTGCAGAGATAGAAACTAGCTATGAGTGTAAACTCAAAAGGTTCATTGGGGTCATCCATCCTGGTACCTTAAATTTTAGATTTTGAATTTGGCAAACCAATCAATCGTCATCCTTCTTCTAAGAAGTAAATCTGTAAGATGTGCATTGCTAATACTACTGCAGTCGCTTCCATTGGCTTTCATCCTAATATTTAATTTTTGTAGTACCCTTCTCTTCCATTCTAGCAAATGTGTGACACTTGATAAACCAAATATTAATCTGAAACTGTTTAGATTTAGACTTGGTGGTGATAGGGAAAAACCTCCTAACCCTAGACAGGAGGGGAACCCTTTTTCCCTAACAGTGGTGGTCTGGATTAATTCAGCAACTGTCACTCTATACGAATTGATGATGGTAATACTGAGCTATTGTTTTTGCTGCCCAAACCACTGGTGAGTATTATAGTTTTGGTAATCTTAATTTATTTGCAACAAAATCTTGTAGCACAATTTCACTATAACACTAACTTTTCCCTTTTATGAAGATGTTTTTTTCTGGGTTCTCCTTTGTTTGTTTGCGATCTTGAATTTGAAACTTATTTTCAGCTGAAATAGAATATAAATAATATTATAAAATTCTTCACATATTCCTTACAAACATTATTTAATTGTTGTAAGATAAATCAGATAGGGAAATTGAGACAGACAAGGGGACAAATTCAGAAGTTGTATGTCAGATGGAGTAAGCTAGATGCCCTTGCATTAAACTCCCATAAATTCAGTCTTTCTTGACTCTACTTACACCCAGTCTCCCAACAAATTAGCAAGTCTAAATGTCTAAGAGGATGTAACTTACACAGTGAAGAGGCAGACCTGTATGTTAAAACAGGATGGTGCTATCTTTGTAGCTATTAGTGGACTGGGAACTGTACTATATATGCAAGCAGGTCCTCTCTAATTGCCTTGCATGGCAGCCTTCCAGTAGGAGAGTGATCACTTTTATGGAATAGTCATGAAAACAAAATAACAGCCATAATGGCCTGAATTGTGGCTTTGCTTGCCTTGTCGAATTTGTTGCGTACAACAGTCAACACAGAGGAGGATTGAGTACTGTGGGCACTGTCTCTTTATAGAGATTCAGTGAAGAATTATATTTTCCTGTATCTAAACTACATCATCCACTGCGTAAATAAAATTCCTCTCAAATTTGGGCCAAACCTTTTTTCTCTGGCCTCCCATCTCACATGTCAGTTTGGACTCTGCAATGGACAAGAGTATCTTCTGAGTTTGGGTGGAAGCATGTGTCAAAAATCAAATTTTATAAAAGAAAGGTGGTTACAGTATTAATCATGAAGAAACAGGTGGGAGGCTGGGAATTTGGGGCTCTGCTTTCTGGTCTTCCTTCAGCAGGTACTGTCCAGCAATGCAGTGTATCCTCATCTGCATTGGTAAATGTTCCAAATGCTGGGGCTAGCTCGCTCCTTTCCAGGCTATCAAAGTAGCTGAAAGGAAAACTATACTTTTCTCCAATGCCTCTTAGAGAATGAAATATTTACCAAAACTAAATATATGAAAATGAATTTCCCAATGTGTTTTGAAATACCTGTCACTGTTTTTATACCTCCCTCCAGTGAACTGGACTATGTGACTCTGATGTCTGACCTCTTAGTGATGCTGCATTGTACTTCCCAGCAGGAGGCAGAGTTTCATGAAATAGAATTAGGGCATAGAAAATTCACCCACTGAAATCTGACTCTTCCAATTGAGTTTTTGGGTAAATTCTTATGGAGTTAGAGGATGAAATACATACACGCTGTGGCACATACAAATAACAGCACATGCTAAAGAAAACATTTTGACAGATCCTCAGCTTGTGTAAATAGGAACATCTTTACTGACTTCAGCAAAGCCATGCTCATTTACACCACTTTGGATGTGATCCATTGTGCAACAATATACTTATTAAAGCTCAGTTGTGCCTCACGCCATACAAAATGACTGGATTGCCGTGGGCCGACCAATATCCTATTACTAGATCAGAGGATAGGAAAACTGCTACCATCCTTTCTCCCAGTTAAAAATGTCGTTTCATGAAACTGAGGTGGATTTTTCTCCCTTTCATTTAAAAGTTGAAAATGAATTGTGTGTTTTTATTTTAAAAAGTTTATTAATGCATTTAAGCAGTTCTTAAATTAACCCAAACATTACAAAATACACCCTAAAATAACTTTTAAACCGTTTTCAACACTTGCTAGTGGAACTTGATTTGTCTGTCTTCATTCTGTTTCATGAAATTCTACTTTCCAAGAGTGAAGATGGTTGCTTCTTCCTTGTTGCTTTAAATATGTTGTTATATTTCAGGTAAATTTTTTTTTAAGTAGCTTTCTCGTCTTTGTAAGTAGACATCAAGATTAGAATCACATTTATGCTACTCTGCTGTTTTCCTATAAAGATGAGCAACCTAAACTGTTCCACAGAGATGAACTCTCTTGTCTTTCTTAAGGTGTAAGTATTGTTATTAATTATTACTATCATTTCTCTGACCTGACAGGTTAATAATCTAGGCCAACTTGGAAATCTCATGAGAATAGCACTCCTCTGCGCGCTCTCTACTTCCATCCAGACTGAAACTGGGAAATTTTGAGTCCATTTTTCTTTGCTCAATTGAACCTTCAAACCCCTTATCAAAGATTTGTGGGATGGGCAAAGATTAAAACTAGTTAATACAAACTGTTTGCCCATCTCTAGGAGAAGGCTGATAGGCTAATGTAATAAGCTACATTAAACAATCTTACCCTATCAAAGTTAATTTCTATTAAGGATTTATTTTATCTGGCAGATAAACATTAAATGTGTGTGTGTGTGTCTATATATATGTTGGTTTGAAGGTCTCCCCACAGATGTTAATTTTCACTAAAGTATAGAATTGATATGAGCGGTCATATTCTGATCTGTTACTCTAGTTTTATACCTTTATATTATCTAAATCGGGCTATTGACCATTGTGTCAAAAGCTCAATCACTGTGAATTAGTGCACTAATACATTTGTTTGTAAAATGTTTGTACATGTCTTCCAATTTTCTTGTGCTTTCCTTCTGTGTGCAGGACTCCTGGAAGGGCCAGTTAAGCACTGAGAAAGAGAGGAGGCTCTTCTGTCCATCATTAGCACATTTTAAAGAAGAACTTTAGGAGTGAGGTAGAATAAAAGGAGAGCAAACAGGAAATAGAAGTGCGGGTAAACAACAGAAAAGACAACGATGCGTCCTTGTGGCACCTTAGAGACTAACATTTATTTGGGCATAAGCTTTTGTGGGCTAGAACCCACTTCATCAGATGCATGGAGTGGAAAATACGTTGTTTTTGCTGATTCAGGCTAACATGGCTACCACTCTGAAACCTGTCAACAGAAAAGAGTTGAAGCAAAATGTAGAGGGGAAATGTGGAGAGAGGTGACTAGCAGTGAGGTGATCAGGGATAAATGAGACACACAGAGATGTTACATGGAACACAGAAGAAATCACTTGCTTTGCTGTGAGTTACCATTTCATTCCTGGGCTGCTGCATGCCTCCTTTGGATGATTTACCAGGGCTTAGTAGCTGAGGATGAAATGAGGTTCACTTCTAGGAATCCAGAATATTTCAATCCATACACTGATAACCAACCTGAGTTGGGCATGACCTCCCTTCCCCAGTCTGTGCTGTGATAGCGCACAACTATTTGCCAGGTCCATTATGGATTATTATTATTTTTTTTTTTTTTAGCCTTCAGATATCCTGAAGCAGGATAATGGAGTTGCCAGACTAATGGCATATCCAAGTCCTATTTCTTTGCTGATGGCTCTTACATTAGAGCCCAAAATCTGTAGCTCTTGCTAAGAAAGAAGTTGTTCCTAGTGAATTGGCTCAGTCTCTCATTTTTCATGAATAAATCTGGAGGGTTTTTTTCCTATTTAAAATGCAAGTAGTACAATTTTATAAAATGCATTGCAGGAAGCCTAATCTCAAGGGCATAAGGAATATGCTTCCTTTTCA